GCACAGGCCGCCGCGACGCCCCCGCCGCTCCGCGGGAGCGCCGCGACGGGCGCGAAGGCCGCAGAGCGGGCGGCCCGAGCCCCCCTCCGCCCCAGCCCTGCGCCCTTCGGGCCCGCCCCAGGCGCCCCCCGGGGCGACTGGGGCCGCGCGGGGCCCTGCCGGGCCTGCCCCCGCGCCCCGAGCAGCTCGAGGCGGAGGCGCTCCGCGGCGCCCGGCCTAGCTGGGGCCCTGGCCGAGCCCCGGGGGGCCGCGGGTAAAACGGAGTCGGGATGAGCAGCTGGCCCCAAGGAAGATTGAGCAGGGACCGACCGTCCCAGCATTTCTATAGGCCTACCACGATATAGTCTTAGAACCCAAAAATGTTCGAAGTACAAAAGCAGTGTTCTTAGAGCATAAGCCCGATGTGTTAAAACAAGACAGGCTCAACCAGACAGATTCAAAGAACACTTCGTGCAAACCAAAACAACATCTCATAACATTCTTTGGTATGCCTATAGGCGAGCCAGAACGCTTCGCCACTGCTTGAGAAGAAGATCCAGACCTCCGGGGGGGCCCGCATGGAGAAAGTCAAAAAAAGGTAGCATCGGGGGCCTGGGCGGGGGCCACGTCCCGAGGGAAACTGCACGGCGACAAGACAACAGACATACGACGCCGTTCCTGCCGCTGGAGGGCCGCATCGCGTCAGCAAGGGGCGGCATGGGGTCGGCGCCGCGTCGGCGATGTCGCGCACCTGCCCTGGCAGCAAACGGCACGCGCTCTGTTTATACGAACGCCGCCCTGCGCTTCAGGCTGCGGCGGGAAATTCGTCGGCGACCGTCTCCTCGGCCGCGGCGCTGCTGAGCGGGCGGCCCCCCGGCAGGATCGCCTCGACGCGCCAGGCTCCGGGGCCCAGCCTGCCCTCGCGGTGCTCGGCCACGAGCTGGAGGTAGATGTCTGCGAGGCGGGCGGTGGGCGCCGCCCTGATCCTGCATCGCTCCACCCCGCCGATGGTCACGAAAACCATTGAGCCGCCATCGAGCGACACCTGCAGGAGCAGCGCTGGACACAAATGAGCTGTGTAGGTTAGGCCCGAGGGCAACGCCGGGAGGTCGCACTCACCACCATGATTGCTGCCGCAGGCCACGGCGGTGCCGTCGCTCCTGAGCAGCACCGTGTGGTTCTCTCCAGCGGCGACCTGCGTGTAGGTCAGGCCCGCGGGCAGCGCCGGGAGGTCGCACCGACCACTATGATTGCTGCCGCAAGCCACGGCGGTGCCGTCGCTTCTGAGCAGCACCGTGTAGATCCGGCCAGCGGCGACCTGCGTGTAGGTCAGGCCCGCGGGCAGCGCCGGGAGGCCGCACTCACCATGAAGATTCCAGCCGCAGGCCACGGCGGTGCCGTCGCTCCTGAGCAGCACCGTGTGTCTCTGTCCAGCGGCGACCTGCGTGTAGGTCAGGCCCGCGGGCAGCGCCGGGAGGTCGCACAGACCATATGATTGCCGCAGGCCAAGGCCACGGCGTGCCGTCGCTCCTGACAGCACCGTGTGGCTCTGTCCAGCGGAGACCTGCGTGTAGGTCAGGCCCGCGGGCAGCGCCGGGAGGTCGCACCGACCATGACCATTACAGCCGCAGGCCACGGCGGTGCCGTCGCTCCTGAGCAGCACCGTGTGGCTCTCTCCAGCGGCGACCTGCGCGTAGGTCAGGCCCGCGGGCAGCGCCGGGAGGTCGAACTCAACATGAAGATTCAAGCCGCAGGCCACGGCGGTGCCGTCGCTCCTGAGCAGCACCGTGTGGCTGTCTCCAGCGGCGACCTGCGCGTAGGTCAGGCCCGCGGGCAGCGCCGGGAGGTCGCACTCACCATGATCATTACAGCCGCAGGCCACGGCGGTGCCGTCGCTCCTGAGCAGCACCGTGTGGCTGTCTCCAGCGGCCAGCATCTGCAGAAAACGAGGGAAGGGTAGCGGCGTGGGTACCCTGTCCTCCTCTGAGCCAGCGCGGAACGCTACAAAAGGAAAACGAGGGCGCTTACGCGCGACCTGACGCGTGCAGCTTACGCGCGAATGCCCGGGCAGACTGCCCCGTCTCTCCCTATCCACGGGGCCTGGGCCCCTCGAGCAGCGGTCCTGGGAGAGCCCCGGGGGCCTGCCCCGAGGTCCGACGCTGCAAGATAGAGGCAACATCGCAGACAGTCGCGACCAGAGCCCGTCGGCGAGCGAGGGGCGGAAGTGAGAAGGAGGTGGCCTTCTCAGAAGGCGGCGGGACTTCTCAGGAGCCTCGCGCCTTCCAGGAAGTTTTCTGTGTCTCCGGGGAAGGCTTAGGACACCTATACCATAAGGCTGGTGGACTTCCGAACCTTTTGAGAAAGCCTCCTCCTTCTCACTTTCTCCCTCGCTCGCCGCCAGAAAATAGATGCACCATCGCAAACAGTCGCGATCAGAGCCCTGGACTTATGTTGCTCCCATCGTCCTTAAGGACCATACTCCAGAAATGTGCTGTCGAGCACCCAGGCAAGTATCGAGACAGTGTCTGCCCGACACGCTGGCGAAATGTCGAACGAATATCGCCTGCCAGGGCCCAGCACGTGAACACCCTCCAGTGTCGGCATTTTCTTGGCGCTCGAAATTCGCTCTGGTGGTCAAGGCTGAAATATGTTGGAACGTCTTCACCCTAGACCCTATCACCCTGCTGCATTTGTCGAGCAGGTTGGATCTGTGATGGCCCCGGGGCCCGACACCAAGCCACAACGCAAGGTGTGAAAACACTGCAGCGCTCGGATCTCGGGGTGCTGCGACTGTCGCCGATATCCAAGCCAGCGCCTCGAACAATCCTGGCAAGCGCCTCGAACAATCCTGCCAGGCCAGAGACACGGCCACCACCCTCGCCCTGGGAGGGGCTCGGTGTACGTCGCTTGGTCGGCAGGGGAGCTCGGCTCGTAGACGCCCCAGCTGCCCAAGCTGTGGGACGCTGGAGCGTCCGTACTTTTTGGCGATCGCGGCCTCGCGCGCAGCGTCGGGGCGGAGCAGGTCGAGCAGACGGCACAGAGCCAACGCGCCTGGCTGGAGCGTCCATGCACCCGATGCCTTCGCCGAGTCCACTGGCTCCACTGGTGTTACATGTTCCAAAACTCCTGGCCTGCGGGCCCCGCACCCCCAGATGGGATGGGTCCCAGGGAACCGCGGGCCCCCTGGCTCCACATCGAGCCGCATCGGCGATGCATCGGCGATGCGACGCGGGCTTTGGAACATGTATGTATATGTATGTCTACACATGTATACATGCATGCATGCATGCACGCACGCACGCACGCTCGCACGCATGCATACATGCATACAGACATACATAATCACATGCAACTACATACATACATACATACATACATACATACATACATACATACATACATACATACATGCATGCATGCATGCATGCATGCATGCATGCATGCATACAGACAGACAGACAGACAGACAGACAGACAGACAGACAGACACGCATGTATGCATACATACGCACATGCATACGCACACACATACATACATACATACATACATACATACATACATACATACATACATACATACATACATACATACATACATACATACATACATACATACATACATGCAGGCAGGCAGGCAGGCAGGCAGGCATACACATATACACATACATACACACATGCATACATGCATACACATATACATACATACATATATACACATACATACATACATACATACATACATACATACATACATACATACATACATACATACATACACACACATATATACATACATACACGAATATGTACACACATAAATGTATACATATATATATATACATGCATACATACATGCATGGACACATAAATATATATACATATATATGCTTACATACATACACACAATCATAACTATATATATACAAACGCATATGTATACATACATACATGAATGCATGCATGCATGCATACATGCACACATACTTACATACATACACACATACACACATCCACCTATCGACCCACCCACATACATACATACATACATACATGCATGCATGCATACATACATACATACATACACAATTACATACATACATACATACATACATACATACATACATGCATGCATGCATGCATGCATACATACATGCATGCATGCATGCATACATGCATACATATATAAATACACACACACCATCATGACTACATATATACATATATATATATATATACACAGGGATGTGCTGGCTCGCTGTGTTTCGCCTTTACAACCTTGGTCGCATGGCGCCTGGGAATCGTTCAGGGACCGTTGGTCGGCAATGCTTGTCGCTGTCGTAGGGTTCATGGGAGGCCCTTGGACCTTCGGGCGTATAGGGATCGGAGGACCCAGTGTGCATAGAGCTCAAGAGGCTGGCTTAGGCCGCAGAGGCCGTATGGCTCATAGGGCTGTGGGTTCGGAAGATGTCTCTGGCGCCTTCGGCGCCAAGAAAGGACGGGTTTGAACATCTCGGGCCGATGTTTGCAAGGCGAATCCAGCGGTGGGGACGAGGGCCTCCCAGGAGGCCCAGAAAGGCGCACACGAGGGCAGGGTAGCGGTATGGGTGCCTTTTCCTCCTCCGAGTCGTTCTTCTTGGAGAGTGGGGACCAGAGCGGGGGTGAGAGGGAACATCAGGGGGGGAGGGGGAAGAGCTCAGGGGGGCAGAGCAACCTGTCATCGGCGGTACGTCACAACCATGGCGTCGGAGCACCTTCGTTTCTGCAGCCCCCCTAGAACCCTGGAGCGTCCGGAAGGCCCTGGAAATCCTGGATCGCAACACATCGTGACCTCTTGCGCCTCCAAGTCAAGTCCTTCCCCTCCCCTGAGCCTGTTTACCCCCCGCTCCCCGCAACGCTGTCCCCCAGACGCTCGGCGCTTCAATGTCTTCGATGAGAGGACCCCCGAAGGTCTGGACAGCTTGCCTACAGAGGGCAGGCTTTGCATCCTGAGTCGTTTGTTGACGGTCCCGGGGCCTGGAGAAGGCCCCGGAACACGGGCAGACCAAACATCAACCGCTCCTCTGATTCGCTGAAGACTCGGATCTCTAGGCCTGGGCACGAAGGCGTCGGCGCGGAACCCCCAAAAAACAAGAATTACAGCTTCCCCCCAGACCTGTCCTGGGGCGCGCCCTGGCCCGACTTTCGCGGCGAGTCCAGCCGCGGTGCCGAGGGCCTCCCAGGAGGCCCTAGAGCTGATGGGCACTTGCGCTGCATCACACAGTGCAAGATCGCTTGATGCACGCCATGTGTCGCATAAGAAGGCCTGGACTCATAGAAACCACTTAGCAGGCGACATGCTGTGTCCACCTATGCGAGCGTGCTGCCAACAACACCATGGGGACTTGCTTCCACTGTGGGTGGCGAAGCATAGCCGTGCGAGCATCACGCGAGGAGGCGGCAGGGGTGCCGAGGCGAGGGAGGAGGGGAAAACGCTGGAGTGGGCTTCTTGGGGTGCGTAAGGATGCAGGACCGCAGAGGAGGAGGAGGAGGAGGAGGAGGAGGAGGAGGAGGAGGAGGAGGACGAAGAGCTGATGCGCACAGGACCTCCGCGACGCCCCCGCCGCTCCGCGGAGCGCGCGACGCCGCGAAGGCCGCAGAGCGGGCGGCCCGAGCCCCCCTCCGCCCCAGCCCTGCGCCCTTCGGGCCCGCCCCAGGCGCCCCCCGGGGCGACTGGGGCCGCGCGGGGCCCTGCCGGGCCTGCCCCCGCGCCCCGAGCAGCTCGAGGCGGAGGCGCTCCGCGGCGCCCGGCCTAGCTGGGGCCCTGGCCGAGCCCCGGGGGGCCGCGGGTAAAACGGAGTCGGGATGAGCAGCTGGCCCCAAGGAAGATTGAGCAGGGACCGACCGTCCCAGCATTTCTATAGGCCTACCACGATATAGTCTTAGAACCCAAAAATGTTCGAAGTACAAAAGCAGTGTTCTTAGAGCAAAAGCCCGATGTGTTAAAACAAGACAGGCTCAGCCAGACAGATTCAAAGAACACTTCGTGCAAACCAAAACAAAATCTCATAACATTCTTTGGTATGCCTATAGGCGAGCCAGAACGCTTCGCCACTGCTTGAGAAGAAGGTCCAGACCTCCGGGGGGGCCCGCATGGAGAAAGTCAAAAAAAGGTAGCATCGGGGGCCTGGGCGGGGGCCACGTCCCGAGGGAAACTGCACGGCGACAAGACAACAGACATACGACGCCGTTCCTGCCGCTGGAAGGCCGCATCGCGTCGGCAAGGGGCGGCATGGGGTCGGCGCCGCGTCGGCGATGTCGCGCACCTGCCCTGGCAGCAAACGGCACGCGCTCTGTTTATACGAACGCCGCCCTGCGCTTCAGGCTGCGGCGGGAAATTCGTCGGCGACCGTCTCCTCGGCCGCGGCGCTGCTGAGCGGGCGGCCCCCCGGCAGGATCGCCTCGACGCGCCAGGCTCCGGGGCCCAGCCTGCCCTCGCGGTGCTCGGCCACGAGCTGGAGGTAGATGTCTGCGAGGCGGGCGGTGGGCGCCGCCCTGATCCTGCATCGCTCCACCCCGCCGATGGTCACGAAAACCATTGAGCCGCCATCGAGCGACACCTGCAGGAGCAGCGCTGGACACAAATGAGCTGTGTAGGTTAGGCCCGAGGGCAACGCCGGGAGGTCGCACTCACCACCATGATTGCTGCCGCAGGCCACGGCGGTGCCGTCGCTCCTGAGCAGCACCGTGTGGTTCTCTCCAGCGGCGACCTGCGTGTAGGTCAGGCCCGCGGGCAGCGCCGGGAAAAAAAAAAAAAAAAAGAAACAAAAAAAAAATAAAAGAAAAAAAAAAAAAAAAAAAAAAAAAATAAGGTCGCTACCGACCACTATGAGTGCTGCGCAGGCCACGGCGGTGCCGTCGCTCCTGAGCAGCACCGTGTGGCTCTCTCCAGCGGCGACCTGCGCGTAGGTCAGGCCCGCGGGCAGCGCCGGGAGGTCGAACTCAACATGAAGATTCCAGCCGCAGGCCACGGCGGTGCCGTCGCTCCTGAGCAGCACCGTGTGTCTCTGTCCAACGGCGACCTGCGGTAGTCGGGCCGCGGCAGCGCCGGGAGGTCGCACCGACCACTATGATTGCTGCCGCAGGCCACGGCGGTGCCGTCGCTCCTGAGCAGCACCGTGTGGCTCTGTCCAGCGGAGACCTGCGTGTAGGTCAGGCCCGCGGGCAGCGCCGGGAGGTCGCACCGACCATGACCATTACAGCCGCAGGCCACGGCGGTGCCGTCGCTCCTGAGCAGCACCGTGTGGCTCTCTCCAGCGGCGACCTGCGCGTAGGTCAGGCCCGCGGGCAGCGCCGGGAGGTCGAACTCAACATGAAGATTCCAGCCGCAGGCCACGGCGGTGCCGTCGCTCCTGAGCAAAATACAGAAAAAAAAAAGGCACCGTGTGGCTGTCTCCACGGCGACCTGCGCGTAAAATATAAAAAAAAAAAATAAAATAAATAAAAAAAAATTAAAAGGTCAGGCCCGCGGGCAGCGCCGGGAGGTCGCACTCACCATCATCATTGCGGCCGCAGGCCACGGCGGTGCCCTCGCTCCTGAGCAGCACCGTTTGGCCCCCTCCAGCGGCCACCATGTGCAGAAAACGACCTCCTCTGAGCCAGCGCGGATCGCTACAGTGGAAACGAGGGCGCTTACGCGCGACCTGACGCGTGCAGCTTACGCGCGAATGCCCGGGCAGACTGCCCCGTCTCTCCCTATCCACGGGGCCTGGGCCCCTCGAGCAGCGGTCCTGGGAGAGTCCCGGGGGCCTGCCCCGAGATCCGACGCTGCAAGATAGATGCAACATCGCAGACAGTCGCGACCAGAGCCCGTTTGCGAACGAGGGGCGGCAGTGAGAAGGAGGTGACCTTCTAAGAAGGCGGCGTGACTTCTCAGGAGCCCTCGCGCCTTCTGAGAAGTTTTCTGTGTCTTGGGGGAAGTCTTAAGAAACCTATACCATAAGGCTGGGGGACTCCCGAACCTTTTGAGAAAGCCTCCTCCTTCTCACTTTCTCCCTCGCTCGCCGCCAGAAAATCGATGCACCATCGCACACCGTCGCGACCAGAGCCCTGGAATTATCTAGCTCCCATCGTACTTAAGAACCATCATCCAGAAATGTGCTGTCGAGCACCCAGGCAAGTATCGAGACAGTGTCTGCCCGACGCGCTGGCGAAATGTCGAACGAGTATCGCCTGCCAAGGCCCGACACGTGAACACCTTCCAGTGTCGGCATTTTCTTGGCGCTCGAAATTCGCTCTGGTGGTCAAGGCTGAAAAATGTTGGAACATCTTCACCCTAGACCCTATCACCCTGCTGCATTTGTCGAGCAGGATGGATCTGTGATGGCCGCGGGGCCCGACACCAAACCACAACGCCAGGTGTGAAAACACTGCAGCGCTCGGATCTCGGGGTGCTGCGACTGTCGCCGATATCCAAGCCAGCGCCTCTAACAATCCTGCCAAGCGCCTCGAACAATCCTGCCAAGCCAGAGACACGGCAGCCCCCCTCGTCCTGGGAGGGGCTCGGTGTACGTCGCTTGGTCGGCAGGGGAGCACGGCTCGTAGACGCCCCAGCTGCCCAAGCTGTGGGACGCTGGAGCGTCCGTATCTTTGGCGATCGCAGCCTCGCGCGCAGCGTCGGGGCGGAGCAGGTCGAGCAGACGGCACAGAGCCAACGCGCCCGGCTGGAGCGTCCATGCGTCCGATGCCTTCGCCGAGTCCACTGGCTCCGTGGCCGACCAAACGACGCGGTGTTACATGTTCCAAAGCTCCTGGCCCGCGGGCCCCGCCCCCCCAGATGGGATGGGTCCCGGAGAACCGCGGCCCCCCTGGCTCCACATCGAGCCGCATCGGCGATGCATCGGCGATGCGACGCGGGCTTTGGGACATATATATATATACACATACATGCATGCATACATACATACGTACATACACACACTTTCACAACCATACACATACATGCATACATACGCGCATACACATATACACACGTACATACATACACACATACAAAAACATACACACACTAGTACATATATACATACATACATACCTACATACGTACATACACACATACACACATGCATGCATGTATGCATGCGTACATATATGCACAAACATAAACCTATACAAACACATACATACATACATACATGCATGCATGCATGCATACATGCATGCGCGAATGCATACATGCATACGTACATACATACATACATACACACAACCATGGTTACACATATACAAATTTTCATATATATACACCTATATATATATATATATACAAGACTGCATTGGCGCTTCGCGCCATGCACCTTGTTCCTTGAAGCTCTGGATCAGCTGGCATTCGTGCTATCCTGGGAGTCCTTTGAGGGGCCCTCGCGGTTATGCATCACAAAGTGGGGCAGGTTGCGGATGGAGGAGGTTGTTACACTGAGACGGCAAAGTGAGATGGTTTTGTCTTCATGCGCGGTTGTCTCTGAGGCTTGGCAAGCGGTTCTTGGGGACTGTCTTGGGCATCTCTTGGGCCTGGGTGGTGCTGTCTTCAGGATTATGGGAGTTTGCTTTCAAGCCTCTGGGGTCGTTTTGGAAGGGGCTGGCGGGCTTCAACGGCCGCTTGCAGCGTCGGACGGTCGAGCAAGAGGGAAAAAACAAATCCTTCAAACGCTATGGGGAAATCGATCAATTGTGACTCTCAGTGCTTTCTTCGGAGGACACCTGAGGTTTTTTGGAGGCCTTTCGGCGCTTGTTGGAAGTCGTCGATGTTTTTGGGCGCTCTTCTTCGGGCCGCGTGGTTTGTGAATAGCCTGTTGGAGCGGAGAGCTCTTACTTTCGCGCCCGGATGCCACGATTCTTGTGAGGGGAGCGGTTCCCAAAGGAAAACCCTTCGAATCCCGGGCTCGCAACCAAATTTGTGTTCAAACGGTTGCGAACCCAGGATTCTGGCCAGAATGTGGCGCGTCAGACGGGGGGTGTGCCAGGCGGCGTGCTGATGCGACTTCGGGGAAAGCGGCCTTGCAGAACGTCGGCGTGGGCTTTGCGCGGGGGGCTCGTCGAGACGTTCGCTCTTGGACGTCGTTGGGCTTTCCGAGCCGTAGCACTCCTACAGGGATCTGGGACGTCTCTTGGATCCTCGATGGGAGGAAGCAGGAAGAGGAGGAGCAGGGTTAGGGAGGCAGGGGCACTTGGGGGAGGGAGGAAGGGCCACTCGGGGGAGCCCGCCGGCTGTCCTCCCAAGGGCCCAGTTGCCTTCGGCGTGGTTCGGACCTCGCTTCTACTTCTTCTTCTAGGAGGTTGAGGGGGAGGGAGGAGACGACGCGGGGGCGAGAGAGGAGGGGGAGGAGGAGGAGGAGGAGGAGAAGGAGGAGGAAGAGGAGTTCGAGGAGGAGGAGCAGCAGGACAACGACGAGGAGGAGGAGGAGCCCGAAGCAGGAAAACCGACGAGAAGGAGGAGGAGCAGGAGGAGAGGAAAAGGAAGGAGAAAGAGAGGAAAAAGAAGGAAGACGAGGATGACGCAGAGAGAGCGGGAGGAGGAGGAGGTAGGAGGAGGGGAGGAGGAGGAGGAGGAGGAGGAGGAGGAGAGGAGGAGGATGAGGAGGAGGAGGAGGATGAGGAAACAGGGGGGAGGAGGAGGAAGAGGGGGAGAACGTGGAGGGGGAAGAGTAGCAGGAAGAGCAAGTGGAAGAGAAGGAAATAGAGGAGAAGGAAAGAAGAGGAGGAATACGAGGAGGAGCAGGAGGAGGAGGAGGAGGAGGAGGAGGAGCAGAAGCCAAAGGAGGGAGGAGGAGGAAGGAGTAAGAGAGAGAAGGAGGGAGAGAGAGGTCTTGCCAGTGCGGGAGTAGGAGGAGGATGAGGAGGAGGAGGATGGGGGAGGGGGAGGAGCAGGAGGAGGAGAGGAGGAAGAGGAGGAGGATGGGGAGGAGGAGGAGGAGGAGGAGGCGGAGGGGAGGAGGAGGAGGAGAAGGAGGAGGAGGAGGAGGAGGAGGACGAGGAGGAGGAGGACGAGGAGGAGGGGGAGGGGGGAGAAGAAGGAAAAGGAGGAGGAGGAGGAGGAGGAGGAGGAGGAGGGGGAGAGGCAGAGGAGGAAGAGGAGGGATAGGAGGAGGAGGAGGGGGAGGAGCATTCAGCACATGAAGCGCACACGAATGTATCTGAAGTAATAGGAGCGACGGCGGAGTCCGTCCGACAGGTCGTGCACTTTCGAGTGGTCCGGCGCAAGGTATATGATAAGTAATCCGCTCTCGGTTTCAGATTTCCACAGCAAGAGCAAAGTAGGACGTGAGCTGGCTGGTTCGCTGATGCGTGCGCGTTGGCGGCGCAACTCTTGCAAGCCCGAATGGTCGGAGGTTTGTCCAATTGGGTGTTGGAGAATGCACGTCGTGGTAAGCATCGAGAACATGAAGCGCACACGAATGTAACTGATTTATTCGGAGGCATCGCTGCAGTAAAAGAGCGCCAGCACTTGGCACAAACGGCTGTTCACAACAGGCGGAGACCACGCGGGAGGCTGGGCCACCCTAGGAGCCTCGTTGGGACCAATGTGGCTGACTTCGGAACCTCGCGGGCCTCCTTCGGAACCTCGGAGCTGCGTGGGGCTTCGGAACTTCGTGGCGCCCTGTTATGCTCGTTTGCTGTCAAGTTGGGTCCTTCTGGGGAGGTCATTAGCCTTGCTTGGGCCATCTTGGAGGCTCGATTGGGGCCCGCAAGCCCTCTCGGGGAGCCCCTCGGATCGGGTGGGCCGTCTCCGAGCGATCTTGGAGGCCTCTTGGCCCCGCGGGGACGTCTGAAAGCCGTTTTGAACGCCTTGTGGGCCGTCGGGGAGCTGATTTCGCGATCGGTTGGGCCATGTTGGAGCGGCCTTGGGTGCCTCTGCGTTTTTTTTGGGGCCGTCATGCGGCTGTCATGGGCCATCTTGGACGCCTCTCGGGGCTCGCTTTCGGCCACTTGTTAGGCCGTCGTGGAGCGGTCTTAGGTGCCTTTTCGTGTGTCTTTGAGTTTGGCAGGACGAGAGGCGAGAAAGCCAAAATCGTTCCTAAACATTAGAAAACTCTAGTTTTGGGTTTCTTCGGCGCTTCTTGGTGGCTCTCTGGGCGGCCTTGTGAGCGGGTGGGGACCTCTTTTTTTGTAGGAATTGTTAAAGTTCCTTGGCTGTCAATGTCAAGCTTCCCGGGGTCGTCTTCGGGCGGCGTGGCCGTGTCTGGGGGCTGTCCAAGGCGACCCCAGGCCGCCGGTCAGCGCTGGGGAGAGCCAGGGAGAGCGCCCCCGCAGGATGGAACATCCAAAATTCGTTCGGGGGGGGGGGTGCGCTCCCGGGGGGGGGGGGTGCTCCCCGGCCGTGTAAAAATATATAAATAGGTGTATATATATATATATATATATCTATATATATATATATATATATATGTATATATATATATATACACACATTCCTATCTGAATTATCTCGCACCAGGGATCGCCAACACCCTCCCCCCAGTAGAATCTGGCGGTCCCAAAGGCCCCGGAGGGTCTTCTCTGGCCCGTCCCTGAGGGCCCCTCAAAAGCTCCAGGAGAAAACCGGAAACAGTCCACGACGGCCTCGAAACATCCAAAT